TAGCCTAATTACGTCACTCGTGGTGATGATGCAGAAGCTATAAAATGGAGAAACCTGCCCACTGGCGAACAGGTCAACCTCCAGCCATGAGGCCGAAAAACTCTTTGAAAGTGTTTGACAGTGATGGCCTAGCCTAACCTAATACTCTTTATTGTGTTTAAAATGGTATTTATACAAACAGGAGACAATTGTGCTCGCATCGTGACTGAGTCCCACTCTACTCCCAGGAACGTAGTCCTCTGAAGAGGAGTTAAAGAACTTTTCTTCACATTGGGTGTCAACCCAAGCACCTCAGATGACGCAAAACAACATCTCGAATTCTCGATGTTGAATCGCCAGTTCTTCTGACTGAGCCAGAATGAGCCAGTCATCTATATGATATCGAAACCAGATCCCCTGAAGTCTAAATGGAGCAAGGGCAGCATCCATACATTTAGTAAAGGTACGAGGAGATAAGGCTAGGCCGAAAGGAAGAACCGTACATTGATAAGCTCCCCCCCCCAAAAGCGAATCTCAGAGACTTCCTGTGATGGAGTTAGAAGGTAACGAGGAGTTAAAGGGATAGTTCACTTTGAAATAATTTTTTGATATATTTTAGCTTACCTCAAGGCCATCCAAGATGTATATGTCTAAGTTAAAACAGTATTTTCAATTTTGATATTTTTAGGTCAAACCGTTCTTGTCTGTCAGTCATATAATGGAGGTTTATGGGGTCCACCCTGGGTCCACCTCAAAGTGCATATGCTAGTAATGCGGTAGGCTAAATTATTTACAGCAGCGGTAATAGACAATTCTGCTTCCAACATGTTGGGCGACTGCAGAGGAAAAGTTCCTTGGGGTTGCTTTAATTTTGGTTTGGGTAGGATTAAGAGATGTAGAATATGGTCATGCAGAATATGGTATTAATATATGCAAATAAACAGCCAATATCCCAGTAATATGCATGCTAATAGTGAGAATGTGAATTTAAACTAAAGTGTACCATAATCACAAATTCAAACGTTAAAATGTTGTTCTGGACCCCATTGAACGTCATTGTATGGACATAGTTTTTTTGTTATTTTTTTTTCAGAATGTCTTCTTTTGTGTTCCACAGAAGATACAGTCCTTCAGGTTTGAAACAAAAGATGAGTAAATGATACCAAAATTTCAGCAATGGTAAAACATTGATAATGCCATAATAAAAGGAGTCGATGCTGTTGGTGTTTAAATCTGGCATGTGGATTTGGATTTAAATCTGACATCATGTGAACAGTTACTGACCTCCATGCACCTCCCTTGCTCTGACATAAACTCAGCTGAACACCCGCTCGTATGCATGTCTAATGCTCCAGTTTTGTATTCACAGGGCATTGCTTATTTTCCCCCCATTACTCTGCATGTCAGAAGCAGTTTAGTACTGGTGCAGGTGTTTGCGAAGGGCTAGATGTACCCAGGGTGCTCGCTGAATGAAGAAGCGAAGGAGTTTCACCTTGATAGGTATTTCGTTTCATCAGACAGTTTCAGCTGTAGCTCGAGAGAGATGGATAATTATGGCATGCCTTAAGGGCACTACATAGAACTCACTTTCATACTATATATATATATATATATATGAAAGACATGAGACTAATATAACACCTTCAAGAGACACCATGCAGCATTTGATGTTTTTTACTACTCTTTCCATGTGGACAGTGTAGAACAGAACATGGATGATTGTGTTCAGAGATTTGTTTATCAGCAAGCTCTTTTTTCCATCTACAGTTCCATTACGTTTTTAACATTCTCAGGTTGCTTGTTATTTGTTGGAGTCACTGACGAGTGACTTACCTTTTTTTTTTCCTTGTGGCAAAATAGAACTTAAAAAAGAGCTATGGACTGTTTGCAGCAAACAAATTATTCAATGTTCACGCCTCAGTTGTATTAAAACTGCAATTAACACCGCTATTCTGCCTGTTCACCAGATGATTAACATATGCAAAAACACTGCTGTATTGTACCCTTTACACATGCTTCTAAACACAGGAGCATAAAAATGTAAAAAAAAAAACCCAGTGAAATTAATTTAGTTGCAAATATTAGATTAATCTGCTTGCAGCACAAATTGTGACCTTTCTCGAACGTGAGCCACTACCTTGGGGTACCCACAAAGTACAAAATAGCCAGCATAATTTCCATTGACGTTTTATATAAATAATTTATATCAGGTAAAATATTTATATAAGGTAACTGTCCGTATGTTACAGCAACACTGGTACAATAGCTATTTTTTTTCTGCTGGTCTGCCCAGAAGAGATTTTAACTTGTCGTGTCAACATTTTCACCACAAAAGAAATAACTTTTATTTTCAGCCATATGTTTTTGTGTCATTATTTTTTTTTTACATTTATATTTATACATATTTATTTTTTACATTTAACATATTTACCAAAAATACATATGTATTTTATTTAATATATATATATATATATATATATATATTTGATCCTAAATAAATGCTATTTTAGCTTATGATAGCCAGCCTAATGTTTAAGTCAGCAGAATTTGCTACAGAAATATTCACACTCTAGAAAACCAAATGTTTTACGTTTGCAATACACAGTCACAAACATGATATGATACAGTAATAGCCTACTACTAATAGCACTGATCAGCAATCAGGCCAGCAAAAAATAATTCATAATAACTAAATAACGCAACAAAAACTCAAATAATTAACAAGTTTCAAATACTCTCCCATTGTTACATTATGTCCAGGCCAGTCAGGCTTTTTAAATAAACATTATTTATGGTAAATATACACATTGTAATTCCATTTTATGCCACTAATTACACACTTGTATCATAGTGGGATAAAAGCTTTTTTTATTCATTTTATTACACATAGACTCTGTAAATGCTTTTTCTGTAAAGCTGCTTAGAAACGATTTATATTGTGAAAAGCGCTATACAAATAAATGTGAATAGAATTCAATTTATGAGACATTTTGAAATGATCCTACAATGTCCTCATAAGTGTTTTAGACTGGTGGTTGTGAACTGTCAGGTGCAATTGATATTTTACCTAGCGTTTATAAAGATCAGACAAAATGAAGAAGAAGAAAGGCAGAGAGGATTATTGGAACAGCACTTTAGAGATTAAGAGAATCCTTGCACTGGCCTTTAGATGTAATGACACTGCTGTCATCACTCCAGATTGACTTCATTTTGCTAATCATTCCTATGGTTAATGAGGCATTTGATTGGAGTTTGACCTTTGTGCTGAAATATGATTCGACATGCATGGATGTATGTAAGTTTCCATTCAGGGGTGTCGTAAAACTATTCTCGCTTGTATATTACTCACTATGAATCTAATTTTATGGGAGTCTTTATTGTTAATATCCTTTGCAGCTAATATAATCTATGGCATGCTAAAGTGCTAAACTTGTGTGAAGATTAATAACTTCACAGTAGTGTAGAATTAAGGGATTAAAACATCTTTTTCAGCAAATCATCGACGGGGTGTCATGCTACTGTCTTTTATTATGTCAGCCACGGATACACGCTCTTGTGTAAACTTAATAGTGCATTAAACTTTTGCCCACTTTGCGAGCTATAACAGATCTCAACGCAAGGCATACACAGCTAGAGTCAAGCCAATTTGTAGAAAGTGTCAAGACATTTCCCCCTTTTGCACAGATTTATGGAACACAATAGTCAATCTAACCAGAGGACTTTGCATTGAATGGATGACTAGCTTAATACTGTGCAATACCAAACAGACAGGATAGATTGCTGCCTAATGGCATACATGAGAGCTAATGCCAATCATCATGTTTCTAGGACAGAGACTAGAATAATCTCCCCAGCATACACAAATACAGCTGACACATACTGAGGTTAACATATGTAGGCTACATGTAATGCCAAGGACATGATATGTACTCTATGCAATGGAGAAATGATAAGTGTAACACTAGAAAAGCATTAAAACCCTGTTGCTGCCCCTGCATCTGCCCAGTCAAACACTAAAAAGGCAACATTTATAAAAAAAAAATTACTTTTTTTTTCTTCAGAAAATTGATCAAAAGTGGCAGACTTTTACATTGATACAAAAAATATTTTTCAAATAAATGCTGTTTTTTGAACTTTAACTAATCATCAAATTTAACAGTAAAATGAAAATGATGATGCGGAAAATAAAGAAATGCAGACTTGACAAGCATAAGAGACATCTTTCAAAAACATAAAATGGTAGTGTATATATTTATAGAAAATATATAATTTAAATATAATTTAAATATTACATATAATGATTTATATTTTAAAATACAAAAAAATATACTAAGTTATATGTTGTGTGTGTGTGTAAAAAAATCACTTAACACAACTTTCATTTTATAGATCAGCATGGAAGAACACTGTATTTTTATAATGTCATCACCAGTTCCTTTTCCTGTTATTCCGATTCTTCATGCTATGAGTGGCCAATTCATTTTATATTTATTCTCAATTTACATTCAGACGCATTCAAAAAACACATTCAAAAACATTCACATAAAAAAACACCACACCGCAGACACCACATTCCCATTAGCCTAATAACCAAAATGACCAAATTACAACACCAGGTCCAGTACATTGTGTTATTTTTCCCTATATGCTTATTTTCCATAATTTCACACCAAATTAAAATTTTAAGCCAATATTTTCACCAAAAAAAGCTAGCGAGCTGCACACTCTTGGCCCTTCGTCAATTCAACCACCTTCTTTGCTGTAAATAACCAGGCAGTTGTGTGCCAATTACAGCTTCGTGAATATTTTCCACCCGCAGTTTTTCAAAGAACCCACACAGTGTTTTTGATGCACTGCATTATGGTATGTGATCCAAGAACCTCTGTGCCATGTTCATGAATGACCTTTAACCGCCTCTGTTTCACCAAAAGCTGATTTAATATCTTACACTGATTAGAAACAAAAGCTGCATGAAAAAAAGAAAGAAAGTATAACAGTTGCCATTCAGATTTATGTCCTACCTGGTGTGTCCCCAAAAGGTTTCGGTGGTTTGGCAGTCACTCTGGAGTTGCTTGGCTGTGTGGTGCTGTGCCTCTTAGGATGCACGGTTGTAATCACCGCATACGTCCTTTGGGGGCTCCGTGTGGTAGTGCTAGTTATGGTAACTGTGGTGGTGGAGGGGGCTAAAGAGGTGACAGTGGTGTTCGGGGTCACTTTCGCCTCCTCCTCAATCACCTCGTCAGCCCCTGTAGGGCCCCAGTCAATAAATCCTGCCACGGTTGTGGTCCTCCCTTCCAGGGAGTCATAGCCGTCCCCTTTCAGCTGCCTCCGTGAGCGAGATAAATGCAGATTTAAATCAGATTTACTCCCCTCCGGTTGTGCAGCCAACTTCCCTTTGTCAGAGGGGGTCCATTTACACTCCAAACAAAGTTGTCGTTTTTGGAGAGACCGGCGGTTTTTCCGCCCCCACAGTTTGCTGCCCCCTAGCTCCCCGTGGTTACCCAGTGATGGCAAGGGAGGGGGAACACCATGAAGCAAGACACCCAGAGTCCTCAACTGCTGGCCGTTGAGCGTGTCCCGGGTGGGCAGAGGGTGCGGCTGCCGGCGGGGCACTGATCTGGGCAGTAGTTTGAGTGTAAGCCCTTGGCCCGCTGGTGTACAAAGAGACAGATCCATTGTGAAATGTACAAGGATGAAGAGGATCCACATTCTACATCCCAGCATTCCTCCAGGTCTCCAGGCAACCATGGAACTGGAGAGCAGAAAAAAGGAGAGAGAAATCAGCCACATTGTTTAATCTCAAAGTGCGTGATTTCTGCATCACAGAAAGAGTTTGCATGCTCGACACAATTTACACAACTTCTTTACTTTAAAGAGTCTCTTATTAGATCTTAGGACTGACTACAGTAGATTGGGCTTTACGGAACTCTTTGTAATGTCCTTATTTCCAACACCATTTTCCAGTCTAGTGATTTTTGCTCTAGGCTTCGTTCTGCTCGGTGACTCACTAAGTTTTCATAAATTGAACTCCAATATTAATTAGATGTGTGATTGTCCTTTAACAGCTAGATGCTAAAAGCAGACTTCAATGTTGTTTTCAAAGACATTTACTTACAAAGTATTAACCCTCACACTCTTCAATTACTTGGCTTCGTAAACAAATTTTCTTGTAGCTGAATTGGTCTCATGGCACTGGCAACATCAAGGTCATGGGTTTAAACATTTCGAAAAAAAATGTATTGCTTGAATGTATGGTATTTTGCTTTGGCTAAAAGTGTGCTAAATGTCTGATATATTTCAGAATCTCCTAAAATTAGTGTCTGTCAGTGATCTTAATGATGAGCTACAATCTTATTAAATATAAACATATAAAATGTATAAAAATAAATGTATGAAACCCCATTTATATTATATTGAGATAAAAAAGAACAAATTAAAAAATACAATTAATTCTATTATATATTTATATAATTTTGCCACAAACTATATCCAAATATTTTGTTCATAAATGCTGTCAAGTTAAATAAAAAAGCAGCAATTAATCTCATGATTTTAAGTCTTTTAAAAGCAGAATGAACTAGTAATATGATCAAATTGCTGGTTGTAAAAATAAATAAATAAATAATAATAATATCACATTTCATTGTTGTGAGAGCCATTAAAAAGCATTTTGCACAATTTCTCTCAATATTATCATGGACACGCTTGCACCCCCTTGTGGTCCCTTGAGGATCCCTGAAACCACTTTAAAAACAACACTCTTCAAACCATAAAATGTCACTGCGATTCTACCTCTATGATTTGTTTTAGCTGGACTTCTACTTGAAGGGTGCTGTTTGTTTGGTTTTTAATTCCAGAACCTCAAACACATTGGAGTGAGCTGCCATACCCTCAGCTTGTCTAGAATCCAAGAGTCTCTATTGATCCAAACAGAAAGAGACTTAATCAAGGCATTCCTGTAATCTCTCCTGTCCTTCCACTATTGGTCATGGTCAAAGGCTAATTTAGAGGGATTAAAGACCCCACACCTAGGCCTACTATTAATGGATTTTGCTGTTGATTTGAGTTCAGAGGTGATGGATTTCTATTGAGTTATCTGACCTATTGGTGAATCAGCCTGTCTGAACCAACAAGTCCAAAACACATATATCTGAAAATGACTAAAAGAGGAAATAAAACCACCATTCAAAAGAGGAATAAATTCCCCTTTATCTAAAAAACTCTTTCATTTACCTGCCCTTAAGAGTATGCTTGGCATGCTGCTTCATCTGTTCATGATAAGGATGGATTCTTCAAGCACACTATGAGAGGGCCCTTGCTCTCCATTTTCCCTCTTCTAGCCTCTCTTTACATTTTTCTCTGTAGCTATTCAGAAAAAAAAGAGGTACTTGTGGTATCTGGTCTGACTGAACTGGGTCAGAACCTTGGGTTGGCCACTCAACCGAGATTTTACCCCTCTAATAAGGTCCTTCAATCCCATTGGGCTCGCCCCCGAGGGGCCTGACTCACACTCCCAGTGCTAATGTGTTCCATTAAAATGTAATTCCTGTCAGGAACATCATTGTATTTACTAAAGGAGACATAACGGAACCAATGTTGTGCTATTAATGATCACCCGTCCGCTGGTTGATGCAATTGGGTGGCTACATTGTGAATTCAAGGAGGCTGCTGTGATATTAATGAGGGCCAAATTAAGGGTAACACACAAGACAGGGTGTGAATTAGAGTGAGAAACACTGAGGACATTTTTTCATGAACAAACACCTCCCTGCTCTTATACTTATAACGCATCAGCTACGATTCGGGTCAGTTTAGCATTGTGCAACCCATTTAGATTCTCCATTGTTATTCATCACGTCAGCCACAAAGCAAAGGCCTTGTTTTTATTTCGACTTTCCAAGTACCCAATGTGAATTTCCAGACTACAAACGCACATTCAGGATCCAAAATGTGCTTCGACATGGGGAAACCTCTTCCCATTACTTGCCATTCATATGAATATTCATATGAAGATATGTGGTTTGCTTTAACTACAACTTGTTCCCCAACAACTGATTTAATTGCATTAAGCTGAACCCAAGTAATGTAAAGGTTCTTAATAAAATTACCAGCCCACTGGTGAATTACAGTACTTTGTTTTATTTACACACCAAACTTGCATTCTGAGCAGTTTTGCTGATAACAAAAGAAAAAAATGCAATACAATGAACTAAAACTATGACTATGAATAAGATAGATGAATAAAGAAGAATTTCCCCTTTTGAATATTCATTAGGTTAATGTTCCCTATGTTTGCAAGTGTGCATACGATTTGTGCTTAGTTGCTTAGATTTAACAGCAGCACAAATATAGATTCACTGGGAATATATAATTTCTTTTCTCATCCATATTCATGATAATGGGGAGGAAATATATAATTTACTTAATAAATGAAAGTGCTAAAACAACACATTTCCTGACACAAGCAAGTTTAATAGCTTGGGAGTTCCTAAAAAGTTAAATGGAAGAGATCTGAAAAAGCCTGAAAGATTAAAAGACCATCTTCTTTGAAATCTCACTCTGTAAAAGGGAATAACATTCAAAACACTGACTAAGCTGATCATGAGTTTGACCAAAGTCCTTTTAGACCATCTTTGTAACACCCGAGACAGCTGCTTCCAGTCAGATATGCAAAACAGACTCCAGCTCTGTGGAAAGCCTGAAATCTCCAAAACTAATGCCAAGTGTTTATCTCAATAGCATTTAACAAATCACCAATAAAACCTGCCAAAATAATATGAGAAATGCAATATTTCAGACCGAATCAGGCTAAAAACGAATTCAATGCCAAAAAGAAACTTTTTTGACTTCTTTTCTAGTAACATTATCTAAACATCGTAAAACCGATCAATTTAATGAGAAGCAAAATTGTGAAATACAGAGATTTTCAGAGAATATGCTGCATGTATTCGTTATATATAGTATATACACTGCAAATAGTTGTTATGCATAAATTAAACATAATTAAGTGATTTCTTTAATAATTAGCCAGTGTAAGAAACACTACGCCTAAGAAAGACTATGAAAGCTTGTTTCCGCAAAGGATTGCGTGATATAAACTCCCAATTCTGACTTTTTAACACAGACTTGTGATATAAACAATTAGTTTATTTTTGAAATTTTATCTCAGAATAGTGAACTTTTTTTCTCAGAATTGCGTGATATAAACTCACTGTAATAAGCTTTCTTACCAAACTTCATGCAAGAGACTTTTTCAGAATTAATAAAAGTCTTAATAAAAGATACTGATCAAAAAAAGATTATATTATTATTATTATTTTGCAGTGTTAAACCAAGATTCATTTGATTTATTGATTTATTGATTGACTTACAGTTTTGGTTCTATTGTAGTGAAGTCCAGTGTTATCCAATATCATGTTTCTAACCCATTCATCCAGCATTTGTTGATCATTGCAATTTCTTCAATTCAAATTTTAATAATTGGCCTGGCTCCTCCTCCTCTTCATGTTGTCTGGTTTCACTGATTCATAACACAATCTGGAACTTCAAAAGCAATTGTTCCTAGAACTCAGAATAATGCACCAAATGATGGGGAATGATACAATAAAAAGGGTTAACCATTACACAGAGAAGAGAGAACACTTTTTTGACGACTTGAACTTTCCCTCTCATCATCCCTTCCTCTCCCACATTTCTCTGTTCTTCTCTACATTAACATGTGGATTCATTGTGTTGCTCAGTCAGTTTTAGCGTTGCAGGGTGGAACCGGTCTTATATGGCTCCCTCTTATAGACAGTCATTTACTGCCCCTCTCGGGACTAGATGTCAAACCCCCGCTATGACTAACACATCACACAGTACTTTTACAACCAGCAAATAATACTGACAGCTATTTAAGTAAAACATAATAGCACAAGGTTGGCAGATTCCAATATGTACCGTTGCTGTAATGACAGTAGCACTCAATCTGCATGAAGTTTGTGTAAAACCTGATCATGTTCTCCGGTATGATTTGAAAAGATTCAAAGAGCATCTTGGCCTTCAATGGAATTAAGAACATCTGAACATCAGTGATTCATATACAGTGTTGTGCAAGTTACTTCCAAACTGTAATACATTAGGTATTACTTGTTACTGTTATTTAAAAGTAATTCATTACCTTACAATATTACTGTCTCAGAATTGTAATGCGTTACATTACTCATGTATTACTTTTGAGTTACTTTCACCAAAATAACTAAGTAGAACTTAACTTTTGGGCTGTAGCGATATGCAATATGAAACTGAAATCGCCATTCGCCACACGACTCAAATCCACGAACCTACAGAATCGCGACACACCTCTTCCAACTCCAGCGTTATTCTCCTTACCGTCCAGATCCAATGCTACCTTATCTTTAAATTAGGCTATTAGTATTATTTGAAGTTAACATTATAAAATACGTAGACCTACACCACAAAACTAGTTGAGGATAAATTATTTAAAATTGGGGAAATCCAGCATTATGGACATGATGACATTTGCAGTCAAAACTTGAAATAAAAATTCTCAGAAAATTCATGTATTGAAACGTATATAGGCTACTTCCTTAAAGGACTCCAGACATTAGACAAATATCAGTCTATGTTTTATTTTTAATATTAGGGAAAAGACACACATTCATGCGTGACAAAAAAATAGGAGGCAAAATATATTTTTTGCAATTCTGTTAATGAGCTTCACTGCGCAAATCGGATGAGGAAGGGTTGGCT